TGTGGAGAAGCAGTGAGGCAGTCCCTGGGGGCAAAAAGAGCTTCATAAGAATATGAAAGCATCAGTGTTTTGTTTCATGCAGGTAACAACTGTCTGGCACGTCTCTGAGTTTTATGCCCCCATCTGTATAGAAATAGAATCCAAAAGTAAGATAAATCCATCACAGGGAGACATAGGAATACGTTTATATGAATTGATGAATGAAGTCCAACTTCTGACTGCAAATTCAATCTGGCTAATTGGTTTGACAATGAAGACTGGCTTTGCCATTTAGATTGTACAGCAGACATTTCCATAAGTGAAACTGGTTAAGTCTGCGGGCCAAGGTACGCTACTATAAAAAATGCCAAAAATGACATCCTTTGCAATTCTTTAGATTTATAATAGACAAATTTTCAAATTAACTTAAAAATGTGAGAGAATGGTGATGTAAGTCAGAATAGTGGCTACCTACAGGAGGGAGAGGGCAGGTTATCTCTAAGAAGGGAGCAGGAGGGAGCCTGCTAGGTACTGGAAATGTTCTACATCTCCATCTTTGTGGTGATAATGAGAGTGTGTATAAATATGGAAAAGTTCACTGAGCCAGTACACTTAAAAAATTTGTGCATCTTAGAAAAGTTACATTTTAGGGGCACCTGGGTGGCTCAGGTGTTAAGCGTCTGCCTTCAGCTCAGGTCGTGATCCCAGGGTGCTGGGATCGAGCCCTGAATTGGGCTCCCTCCTCAGCAGGAAGCTTGCTTCTCCCTCTCCCCCTGCTTTTGTTCCCTCTCTCACTGTGTCTCTCTCTGTCAAATAAATAAATAAAATCTTTAAAAAGGTTATATTTTAATAAAAACAACAACAACAACAAAAGTAAAGGGTGTTTTCAAAATTCTTTTGGAAGACTATTCAAGCAAAAAATTTGAAGACCACAGCTGTAGGAAACTGAGAGGACTAAATTTGCCTAAAGCCATGTTCCAAAACATCTCTCTTGTCCTCTATCCTCAGGATCTCTCCTTCCTAACATGTCTCACTTTCCTCCCAAAATCCTTTTTAAATAATTAATTAATTAATTATTTTTTATTACCCATTAGTTGCCTGTAACACCCAGAGCTCATGCCACACATCCCCTCTTTAGTCCTCCCAAAATCTTGCAGCAAGCCCCCGGAAGTCTTACTCTGTAACCTCACACCCCTTACATCCTGAACCAGTTCCCTGGGCATTTTCCTGGTCCCCTTGCCTTCACTGAGATCTGCTCCCCTGCTTGATTCTCCCTGCCCTGCCCACCCAGGACACCACCCTTCAGACTGCACAAACCTAGGATCAGGAAGTGAGGTCCATGTCCTTGATGCTCTGATAGAAAGCCAGGATGCTCCAAACTCTGAGAATCCTAATATTCATTATACTGTCTTCATTCCTGGTCACTGTCATTTACTGACTACCTGGTCACTGTTCTTCACCAACGGAGGATCCAGTGTACATACACACTGCCTTCTCTACCCTGCTTTTCTCCTGGTTGCATTTAAAATCCTGGAAGATTTTAATTTTGATGAAGTCCAATGTATCCACTTTTTTCTCTTATGATTGGTATTTATTGTAGCCTTGTAATTTTTTGTCTTCTCCAAGTTTTCCAAGATTTTCTCTGGATCTTTTTTTTTTTTTTCAAAATATGTTATAGTGTCAGCTTTAACATTTAGATCTATGACCCATTTTGAGTTAATTTTTATATATGGTGTGATCTAAGGGTCAAGGTTCCTTTTTTTTAATAGAGATACCAGTTGTCCCAACACTATTTGTTGAAAAGCTTTCCCCCAATGAAATGATTTGGCACATTTGTAAAAAAAATCACCTGAATATAGACAGAGATATAGATAGATTTTTGATGGTTCATATACATATATGTCACAAAATCTATTTTTTATTCATATATATATGAAAAATTATGCATATAATGCCTATTACTATGTTCCATGCTTTGTTTCATTATTCTATATGTGTGTCATAAGATAATTCTTGATGACTTATAATATTTATAATAAATCTTGAAATCAGACAATTTAGTATATGTGCTGCCGAAGCAAGCACGAAATCAGACAATTTAAACTCCTCATTTTTGTCCTTTTTCAAAATTATTTTGCCTATTCAATATTCCTTATTTCCCTAAGAATTTCAGAATCAGTTCATCCATTTCTACAAAATGCCTGCTAATATTTTGCTTGAGATTGTTTTGAATCTATAGATCAATTTGGAAAGAAATGACATCTGAGCAACAGTGAGTCTTCCCATCCAATGAACATGACATATCACTCTATTTACTTAGGTCTTATTTACTTTCTCCTAGCAATGTCTTACAGATTTCAATGTACATGTCTTACATACCTTTTACTAAACTTATGCTTAAATATTTTATGTATTTTTGATACTATTTTAAATGACACCTCAAATATTCATTTTACTATTGATTATTGCTAGTATATAAAAATTTAAATTTTGTATATTGACCTTGTTATCATAGAGCTTTGCAAAATTTATTTATATTTTAGTAGCTTTTGTGTAGATTCCTTTGAATTTTCTATGTTCACAAATATGTCACCTGCAAATAAAGACAGTTTTACTTCTGCCTTTCTGATCCATATGCCTTGTTCTTTTACTTGCAGTATTGCAATGACTAGGACCTCCAGGACAGTGTTGAATAAAAATGTTGAGATTATTTATTCTTCCTTGTTCCTGATATCCCTGGAGCAAAGCATTTCATCTTTTACCTTTGTGGTTGTTTTGAAATATAGTCACAATTTCTCTTACACTCCTCTCCTCAGAGAGTGCAGTCTTTTCCCCTCTCCCTGAATGCAAGCAGTAGTTAGTGACTTGCTTCTAATGGAGATGCTGGTGGAAAGGACTGTGACTTTCAGAAGATCAGATCATAAATAATGGCATTGTGGCTTCCTTCTTGCTTTCTATTTTTCTTGGATCATTTACTCTGGGGGAAGCCATTTGCCAAACCATGGGAAAACACAAGAAGAGTTCCATATGGTGAGGACTAAGGCTTCCATCAAATAAAGAGTAAGGACGTGAAGCTTTGTCCCAATAGCTTTGTATATGAGCTATATTGGAAGCAAAATCTTTTGGCCCTAACCAAAGCTTTAATTGACTTCAAATGATGAGCTGATATCTTGAACCAAACCTCATGAAAGAATCTCAGTCAGAACCATTCTACTAACCTCTCCACTCCCTAGCCCTCAGAAATAGTAAGATGATAAGTGTTTATTGCTTAAGCTGCTAAGTTTGGAGGTAATTTTTTACACAACAATAGGTAACTGATACAGCTGTTAAGTATCTGGTTTCCTGTTTATGTCCTTTATCAAGTTAGGATATTTTCCTTCCATAATGAGTCTGAGGGGAGTATTTGTTGTGAACGGGTATCGAATTTTGTCAAGTACTTTTTCTGCATATATTGAGACAATCATATTCTTTTTCAACTTTATTCCAGTAATATGGTGATTTCCAATGTCTTTTCAACCTTTCATTTCTAGGATAAACTTTAATTTATCATTTCGGTGCATCCATACACTGAGAAATATCAAGCAGCAAAAAGCCATGAGCAACTGATACACGCAGCAGCATGAATGAATCTCAAAAACACTCTGGTTCTATTTATGTAAAATTCACAAAATGGCAGAACTAATCTAGTGACAGAAAGTATGTTAGTGTTTCCCTGGTGCCAGAGAGTGGGTAGGAATCTACAGCAAAGGACAGGAGGAAAGGCTGATGGAGATGCTCTATATCTTGAGCATAGTAGTGGTTACCAAAATTTGTAACTCATTGATCAGTACTGTTAAAATGGGTGAACTTAGATGTAAATACATTATATCTCAAGAGAGTTGATGTTTAAAAGTTTATCCTTGAGAGGCGCCTGAGTGATTCAGGCTGTTAAGAATCTGACTCTTGTGGGGCGCCTGGGTGGCTCAGTGGGTTAAAGCCTCTGCCTTCAGCTTGGGTCATGATCCCAGGGTCCTGGGATCAAGCCCCACATTGGGGTCTCTGCTCAAGCAGGGAGCCTGCTTCCCCGCCTCTCTCTGCCTGCCTCTCTGCCTACTTGTGATCTCTGTCAAATAAATAAATAAAATCTTAAAAAAAAAAAAAACAATCTGACTCTTGATGTCAGCTTAGGTCATGATCTCTGAGTCGTGAGATCCAGCCCCACAATGGGCTCTGCACTCAGTGTGGAGCCTGCTTGAGATTCTCTCTCTCCCTCTGCCTCTGCCCTTCCCCATAGTACATTCTCTCTCTCCCTTAAACAAATAAAATAGAAGCTTATACTTGAGTTCTATAAAACTATATAGGTTGAGAATTGATTACCTAATCATGACCATTAAAATAAAAATGCCAAGAGTAGGTCTGGGTTATCTTTAAACATGGTTATCTGTGTTACAACTAACCTAGCAATTTGGTTAATAACCACAGTGACGGAGAAAACACTGGCCCAGTTAATGGATTTAATCTATTCGTGAATCTAAATGGTTGTTAAGTAAAGGCTTCTGCTGGGTATAGAATTGTTGATGAAATTAAGTGCATTCACTGAGCCTGGTTTCCTAGGGTAAAATTCAAGTACACTCGAGAAATCCAAACCCAAGTCAATTTTCCAAGTCAGAAAACACTACTTAAGCTATCCGGCCTAAGTAAAGGGGGTTAAACAGAAACACAATCCATGACTTTTCTAATGGATTTCGTCTTTGTGCTGACAGCATCTTCTCCTTTAACTGTGATAATGCTGAAATCTGTCTCACCCTGAACTAGGACTCTTCAGCCTGGAACACATAGAAATGGTACAAATGCCAACAGTTGTTTCCAAATAAACCAGTCATAAAAGAGAAGTCACTGATAAGAGAAATGATTAACATTATCAAATGTAAGTTACTGTCAATAAAACAGTTTTCTATTATTACCATATGTAGTGCAGAGACTCCTCTCCCTTATCTTTCCCTTTGCAGAAAATAAAAAGAACAAAGGAAACGAGAGATTACCTCTAAACTGATTATTGCACTGGCCATACCATCATCCTTGGCACACTCAGGTTGGAATTCCAAAATGACTGATGTCCCCAGGTCAGACCCTCCTCGGCCCCTTAGCTGGTCAGTCCAACAACTGGAGTATGAAAGAAAGAAAAGCATTATTGTCAGTCACATTCAACCTTCCTCTTTCTATATTTTTTTATTTGGGGGGTAGCATTTGAGAACCCCAATATCTGCAAGCCTTTTTCCTTAGTGGGGGAAGTCAAGGGCTAATTCTGCCAGTGTATTGGAGAACACCTTTTACAAGAAACCAAAAAAATCCCTGAGATCAAGGAAATGCAGGACACCTCAGGTCAGTGAGCTAAACAGGAGCCAGGAACCAAAAGTGAGAATAAGGAGACCCTAATCAAAAAGACAGAGATGAGAGCATCTCGGTGGCTCAGTTGGTTAAGTGTCTGCCTTCTGCTAAGGTCATGATCCCAGGGTCCTGGGATCGAGCCCCAAGTCAGGCTCCCTGCTTGTCAGGCTCCCTGCTCAGTGGTGAGCCTGCTTCTCCCTCTCCTGCCTGCTTGGGCTCTCTCCCACTATCTCTGACACTATCTCTGTCTCTCTCTCTCTCTGTCTCATCAATAAATAAGTAAATAACTTTTAAGAAAAGACAGGGATGATAGTGTTGACAGAGATGTGGAAAACTGGGGTCCTCATACACTGCTGGTGAGAATGGAAAATGTTGTAGCTGCTTTGAAAATCAGTCTGGCAGTTGCTGGCAGGCTGACTAGAGAGTTACCATATGATCCAGCAATTCCACTCCTAGATGGACACCCAAGAGAAATGAACACGTATGTCCACACAATAACTTATACACAAATGTCATAGCAGCATTACATATAAGTGCCCAAAACTGGAAATAACCCAAGTGTTCATCAACTGAAGGAAAAAACAAATCAAATGTGGTATATTCCTATGACAGGATATAATTCTGCAATAAAAAGAAACACTGAAACATGCTACAATGTGGATGAATCTTGAAAACACTATGCTATGTGAAAGAAGCCAGTCACAGAAGAGCACATATTGTATAATTCCATTTGTATGAAATCTCCAGAATGGGCAAATCTATCCATTCAGAAAGTTGAATAGTGGTTGCCTAGAGCAGGGAAGAGGTGGCCCTGGGACTTGCTGTGTTTCTTTTTGGGGTGATAAAAATATTCTAAAATTGACCACGGTGATGGCTGCCCAATAGTGTGAATATACTAAAAGCCATTGAATTGTACATTTTGAATGGGTGAATTGTATGGCAGGTAAATTACATTTCAATAAAGTTATTTAAGGGGGGAAAAAAAAGAACCATGGGACCAGGGCAGGAATGGAAAGCCCAGGAGCTAGCCAGAGGGAGGGTTGAAAGAGAGAGTAGGCAGGCCAGGGAGCCTAAGTCAGGTCTCCTAGGCTGGTGCTGGGAATTGTTGTTGCTGGTGGTCTGTATTTGCCACAACACAAGGGTAATGATAGGTTGAGCTGAATTTAAAGGACCAGGGGTGGGCTGGGCATCTACTGTTTTTTAAAACAGAAGACTGCTTCTACACTTGCTATTCAAGAACTCCGAAGAGGCTGCTTCTGTGTTCAGGGATTTTTTAGGAGGCAGGTGGTGGACACTATATTAATCTGTTTACTTAGGTCTTCAGAGTCTGGAATCTGAGTTACCCATACCCATTTTGAGACACTTATCTTCACTGATTCCATATAAGGCCTTTTTTTCTATGTTCCTTTATGTTTACTCCTTTTTACCCCCATAAGCTACCCAAGCAACCTTTCTGATGGGCATGATGAATACCTTTTGGTTTGTATGTATACGCTTGCATATGGAGTTTTACTGTTTTCTATGCATACGTTCTCACATTTAACAAATATTGTTGTGATAGATGTTTGAGTAGGGTCTGCTGACAAGTTTCCACTGCTGTCTACTTTTGGCTAGTTGTGCTGTACACTGAACACAGTACCTAGTAAAAGCTCAGTAATTGTTAATCATTAATAATACTAAACCAGTGGTTCTTAACCCCAGATAATCTGCACCCCCTCCTCCCCTTTCCCCTAAAAAAACATTTGGCAATGGCTGGAGGCCTTTTTGGATGTCTCGGCTGGAGAGGTGGTACTAGAATTTACTGGGGAAAAGCCAGATATGCTGATAAACATGCTACAGTGTTCAGGACAGTCTCAAAACAAAATGTTAAAAATGCCCAGGTGAAAAACCCTTCACAAGAACAGGAACCATACAGGTGTTCCTTCACTATTGTATCTCTAGCACCTAACACACCTCATGGTCTAGAGTAAATATTCAGTAAATGTGTTGTGACATTCATGCAAACAGGCTACATGGGTGAAAGCCTTTTGAGATGAGTGTGGGCACACCCTCATAGTCGGGCTCCAAGACTTCCAGAAAATTAATCCAGACCACTTATGCAACTTAAGTGTCCACCAACAGATGAATAGATAAAGAAGATGTGGTATATATATATATACCATAAACACCATATATATATCTAGCCATTAAAAAACATGAAATCCTGCCATTTGCAACAACATGGGTAGACCTAGAGGGTTTTATGCTATGGGAAATAAGTCAGTCAGAGAAAGACAAATACCATATGATTTCACTCATATGTGGAATCTAAAAACAAAACAAATGAAGAAACAAAACAAAACAGAAACAGACTCATAGATACAGGAAAAAAACTGTTGGTGACCAGAGGGAGGAGGGGTTGAGTGGGTGAAATAGGTAAAGGGGATGAAGAGGTACAAACTTCCAGCTGTGAAATAATTAAGTCATGGGGATGTTATGTACAGCATAGGGAATATGGTCAATAATACTGTCATAACTTGTATCGTGACAGTAACTAGACTTGTGGGGATCATTTCATAATGTGTACAAACATAGAATCACCATGCTGTATATCTGAAACTAATAGGATATTGTCTTTCAATTACACTTCAATAAAAACAAAATGGAACAAAACTCAAATAGCTGGTATGTTTCAGAGAGGCTGGACCAGAGTACAGGTCAGTACTGTTTCCACTAGGACACCCTGCTACTGAGCAGGTTCTTTGAAGACACATGAAAATGATTTTGATAAAGTCATACAAAATAATCACACTATGAAGAGGGTTGGCATGAAAGGGAGCTGCACAGCACATATCCTAAAGACATTTTTATGCTCACATTCCAGAATATAAAACTGGGAAATCATCAAAGTACACACCAAGTTGTCTTTTCTTTGCTTGGAGACATGTCACAGAGAGAAGTTTTGTACATGGTCCTAAAAATTTCTCTGTTCATCAAGTTTTGGCTCTTCTTTTTATGGCACCAATCTACACAACAGCAAATGCCATAAACTTGAGTTCATGCATGACTGTCACCCGTGTCACTCCGTGGGATTCAACCAGGCTTGGTAATACTCACGGATGGGTGGAAGGGGAGAGGCAGCAGGCCTTGCATGCATCTCGGTTGGTCTCCCTGGGTCAAACACAAGGGAGGGAGAGGAAACGAAGCAGCTGCAACTGCAGTGAATTCCGGTTTACGTGAGGGCAGGCAAGCACAACTGCAGACAGCCTGAGCAGGCAGTGGAGAGGGAACAGGAGCCCAGCAGGTGTGTGAAGCACAGGAATGGAGCATTCAAAGAGGATCGCCCTTAAAAGTTCAGGACCGCAAGCCAGCAGTCTGTCAGCCTGGGGGCTATCTTTGATTCTGATCCCTGGGAGCTGGACTGGCATGGTCAAGGAAGGCTCCTGTTCTAAGAGATGGGACGTCAACCAGGTTATTGACAATGGGCCCAAATCCAGAAGCCCACATCCAAGAAATGGAGCCTTTGAAAGTAGATGGAGAATTCAGAAACCAAGTAGGTGCTGCTGAAGGATCCCTAGGTAGGTCAGTCATAGCTCACCTGGAGTAGAAAGACTACACAGTGGGGAGAGGGAAATGAAGAAACCAGGCTTCAGACTGGACAAAAGGAGACAGGGGATTACCAACTGTCAGGAGGCTGTGGGATCTCTGATGGTTTCTGTTGCCCCACTGTGAGCACAGTAGCAAGCACACTGGAGTCTCTGTGTACCAGAACCTTCCATTCCCACAGGCTGCCCTGCAACAGACTCTCAGGTCATACCACAGAGCTATTATTAAAGAGAGAAAGGAAAACTTGGGAAATTCTCTCAGTTGAGATTTTTAAATATTTACAGTATTTTTTGCAGTTGATTATTATTCAATTTCTTCCATTCCCTTGTGCCACCTTGCACCTGCACCAATGCATGAAGCTCTTTCTACACACCCAGCTCTGACCTCCTAAATGTGTGAGCAATCTCCTTGAACAAAGCCCATCAGAGATGTCTAAATAGAGAGAGGGTGAGACAAACAGAAGGAGGAAGAGAAAAGGACCAGCTCTAAGTGAGGTTTGAGATAGAAGAACACTAAAAAGGAAGTAGTATAAAGAGAATTCAGGTGTGCTCCAAAGCATTTTGTGGTAGGATTGAGTCACCCTATGCATAAATCTTTTCAATGCTCGTCTAAAGAGAAACAAATAAATGAATGGGAAAATGAATAAATCAGTGAATGAATCAAAGAATCAATGAACTGATGAATGAATTAATGATGATGATAGGAAAATGGCAATAAGCAACCATCATTACACAGGTGTGTGTGTGTGTGTGTGTGTATGCAGAGGGAAAAGATCCAAGAGTTAATGGGTGTAATCAGTACACGAAGGGGCTACTCAGGCCCTGACAGGGGAATTGGTGACAAATTACAGGAGATTGACAAGCCCCAAAGTTCCTCGGAAACCCTTACCCCCTAGGATGGTGACAGACGTGTGTGGCAGGTGCACTCATAGTTGGCAGCTGTCATGTTCAACTCTCCCCTTCCCCCATCCAACCATAGGGTGTGGAACAGAGGGGCCCAAGTCAAAGGACTCACCGCTCACCCAGTCCTTCCTCTGACAGTCCCTAATATTAACTCCCTGACAATACGAGAGAAACAGAATCACTCACACAGCATATAAACAATGCTTTCATGCAAAAGAAATCCTGTGCTTCTGAAAGACCAGCTACCTACCATTGGCTACACTGATATTCTACACATGTGCTACATGATGGATGGTGAAATTGAGGCTATACAGAGTGGGGTGACCTCCAGCTGGATTTTACCTAGCAAATCCATAGGGGAATAATGTGTCCTAATGACCCATTGTGGCTTTTTAGAGTGAATATGGAGTTCTAAACTGATAGAGGGGGTGAGTACCAGCATCATCTGGGGAGCTTTGTCAAACTGCACACACCCCAGGAGTCCTAGCCCTGACTCTGTTACTCCCTGCCTGAGACAACAGCTACTAGATAGAGGGCAAGGAACCAGATCTGAAGTTGTTTGTGTCCAATAGAATGCCTACCCCTCAGTCTCGGCTCAATATGTAGTTCCTGAATAAATGGATAGATAAATCAATTTAGTTATTTTTATAACCACAGAATCTGGAGTTTAGAGAGACCTTAGAGTTCAGCCAGACATCTTATTTAATGACAGAAATAAGGTCCACAGTGGTGAACTGACTTGCCCAATATCACACATTTAGTATATGTGCTGCCGAAGCAAGCACCCAATATCACAGATTTAAATACTTAGCATGGCTACAAAAATTACAAGACTATTCCAAGTAGTTAGTATAAAAGACAAACATAACTGTTTTCTGCAAAAGGCAAAGCACTAGTTTGAGAGAACTAGTCAGATGGTCTGATTGACAGGGAAAAAAAGCATACTAGGATCACACATCAAATGTGGGTTGTAGGGGCCATGGAGCTGTCCTATCTTTAGGTTCTTCCCCTCCACAGTCTTAAAAGCCCTCTGCCAACCAAGCCTTATCTTAAAACTCTAAGCCTACAAAGTATGGCAGATGGGCATGGTTTATCAGGGAAGTATCTCCTTTAGCAAGAGAAAAGGAACCAATGTCACAGGCCAATTCAGTGCTTCAAAGAAGAGTCTTAAAGAGATGTTCATTAATTGGGAGTGATTTAGATGAGATTCCATTTCAAGACATATGATCTCTATTATGAAAATCCTCAGCACCATTGAAATGTCTTTTCCTGAAGGAACAGCAAAGTGTTAAGAACATGGCTATCGATTTCAGAGGAAAAGTTACTTATGTCTACTGTGATGAGCCAAGAAATCACTCAACACTGAAACAACCACATTTTCTTTCATTGTGCAAAGGCCAAAATAAAAACCACAGCTTCTGCTTGCAAGTTAAATTCTTTTCAATACTTCACAGTCCAAGGATCTGTACATAAGTCTACTTGGCTTTAGGTTTTCAGAGAGCAGAATGTTATTTTAAACAAAAACACCACCAAGAGCGACACTTTCCACGGGTCCACTAAGACACCACCTAGAGAAGGTAATGATGAGGCACAATCATCTTCTTGTACTGTGCGTAGGTGATTGAGGAACCAGAAGGAAACTGTGATGTAAAGGGAGTAGAACTGTGTCAAACAAATGGCCCAGTCCTTTGATAGTAGGAGCACTTAATGAAACTGGACTCCAAAAACAAGTTCCATCATCTGTCTTTGGATTTTATTCATCCAATCCAAATGGTTTAAGCCAAAATCAAGCATTGCCATACAAAATATTTTAAAAATATGTGCATGATCCTGATTAAAAATGTTTAGGGCAGCATATTCTTAACCTGTATATTTCCAAAAATATCTCTCACATATGCCAACAATGTACCCACAACCTGTGTTATCTGTGCCTTCAACCACTTGCACTGTTCTTTGAAGCCAGCTGTTAAAGGGCATTAAGAGCGAGGTCACTTAGCCTCCAAAGAGGATCATTTGACAATGCCATACAAAGTCATCTGCAGATACAAGATAATAGTCTTTGTAACTGTGTGTGGCCTTGCCCCATTGCACAGTATCACTGAGAGCAGAGAAGCCACCACGTATCCTTTCTGAAATTAAAAAATGCATTCTACTGCCTTGTTTTCCCTGAGAGAACTGATTTTGAAATCCACCAGTTTTTAAGATTTTAAAAACCTTCAGAAGGCAAGACTTGCAATATATACAAATTCTATGAATTTATCTTAAGATAAAATCATCACTCATCCCTCATATTTTCATCTGATGCTGTTGTTAATAGTTAAAATAATCAAATTTTAATGAAGTTTTAAAAAAATCATTTAAGTACTTAAGCAAACTTGAAAATAAAAAGTTTCTTGAGCAAAATGATTTCCACAGAATGTTAAATGCAACACTTAGGTTAACATGGGTCCATGTGGCTTAGGTTAATATGTATTTAACTGCATCCTTCCACACAGACCTTGACATAGGAATATGTGGAAGAATGGCTAGAAGCTTGTCCTAGGCTCACATCTCATTTTCCAAGGAATTTCCACGGTAGTAAACTCTCTCTAAAAATATTTTGTGGTGAGAGATTGTAATTCTTTTTTTTTTTAAGATTTTTTTATTTATTAACTTGACAGACAGGGATCATATGTAGGCAGAGAGGCAGGCAGAGAGAGAGAAAGGGAAACAGGCTCCCCACTGACCAGAGAGCCCGGTGTCGGGCTCGATCCCAGGACCCTGGGATCATGACCTGAGCCGAAGGCAGAGGCTTTAACTGACTGAGCCACCCAGGCGCCCCGAGAGATTGTAATTCTAAGTAATGAGACATTTTCTTCTATAGCCCATGATATAATAGTTAAAGCTGGCAAACCCTCCCTTGGTCACACAATCTATGACATTAAAATATGGCTGTGGTTTGGTCAAGGCCAATGAAATCAGGCAACCTTGCACTAGCTGTAAGAAAGAAAATTTAAAATTAGCAATTCCACTTCAATGAATTTATGTTAAGAAAATAAAGATAAAAGCAAAGATTAATATACAAAGATATTCATTACAGGATTTGTCTTATAAGGAAAAACTTGAGGCGAATTTTAATGCTCAAAATTAAGTCACTAACTAGACCATGATACTGCCTAAAAAATGATGATTGAGGAGCACCTGGGTGACTCAGTCAGTTACATGTCTACCTTCAGCTCAAGTCATGATCTTAGGGTCCTGAGATCCAGCCCCTTGTCCAGCTCTCTGCTCAGCGGAGAGTCTGCATCTCCCTCTCCCTCTGCCCCTCTCCTACAAGCTCTCTCTCTCTCTCTCTCTCTCTGTCTGTCTCAAATTAAAAAAAAAAATCTGTAATAAAAAATGATTGAAATGTAACAATGTTTACATTAAACATTGAATTATGGAAATAGTTGTAAAATACTAAGGA